GCCAGACCTATTTTTTTTGCCCTGGTTATTTCTGAGATAAAGTTTTACTTCCTGCTTAGATGCCCCCCCCATGCTGTGGTCCACCCACTTTAGGCTTTCTGTCGTAGCTGGGATGGCAGGTGTATACCTGTGCATCCAGCTTCCCTGCCTTTACATGAGGCATCACAGACTTTCCTGCCCAGGCTGGCCTGGAGTCCCTATCCTCCTATTCTTAGACTCCCCAGTGGCTGGGATGACAGGCAGGAGCCACCAGCACCAAGCTGGGTATTTCCTGGAGTGCTCAGTGGCTCTCCTCCAGAAAGCCTAGGAATATGGTTTATCCAGGCCAAGTTGCAGCATTCTTACCTAAGGCATGGGGCAGAGCTCTTCTGAGGATCAAGTTAAATCATCTTTGCAGAAAGATTCCAGGAAGTATAGAGTTCATCATACACGTAAGACATGCTGTTTTGAGTAAAGCTGCGGTGGAGAATTATGGATGGTTTGTTCGGAAGCACATAACCATGACTCATTTTTCAAGAGCAATGGTGGCTGCACAGCTCACTCGTGGACAGAATATGCTCTGAGTTCTGCTCCCGGGCCACCCACGTGCACAGACCCAGAAATCCTGTTCTGTCATCTAGGACAGGATCCAGCCTGGATGACTGTGTTACAAAGTGAATGTGCTGTCTGGGACAGGATCCAGCCTGGATAGCTGTGCATTATGAAGTGTGTGTGTTGTCTAGGACAGGATCCAGCCTGGATGGCTGTGAATTATAAAGTATGTGTGTTGTCTAGGACAGGATCCAGCCTGTATGGCTGTGCATTATGAAGTGAGGGTTTTTGTTTTTTGTTTTGTTTTTTGCGGTGTTGTGGTGTTGGAGGTGAGTCTGGGGAGGTGGTTCAGGTAGATGGAGTCATGCAGGTGGAGCCCGTGATAAGGTGCTGGAGAAGAAGCACGATGTAACTTGGCAGGGAGCAGGCAGCTCACTCAGAGAGAAAAGATCAATAATCTATTTTCGAAGGCTTGGAAAGAGTTAAGGAAAACCCACAGGAAGTGACAGAAAGGTGAATGTCCCTAGGGACTGGTGACAGACAAGCTAACAGTGTGGCCACCAGAGGCCTGGAACAGCCAGAGCAGGGCATGTGTCATGGAGTGCAAGGCTCGCTGGACACTGGGAGCAGAGCAGGGCATGAGTCACGGAATGCAAGGATGGTTGGACACTGGATGGGGAAGGGCCTGCTGATGCCTACCACATCTCAACATTGTGGTCCTACCAAACCACAGCGCAGAAGGGAGGATGCTGGGGAGTGAAGGCCCCAACTTGTTCCCTCTTCCCACCCACTAGTATCCTATTGGTGGAACTTGATCCCAGACTAGAGAGCCAGGGAAATTTGAAAGGTCCCTGGAATCTCCTCCCTGAAGAATACTGGGTGTGAGTTCCAGTACACTCACCCCACCCATATGCCCTCCCTATTGGCATTCCCTCCCCTGTGCTCCCACTTCCTGTGCAGTGACATCATGTGGCCAAACTTCTCCAGATAAATCAGGAGGAGGAAGAGTATGAAGAAGAAGGGAATGTTCAGGCCCTCCAGATCTGATATACTCCACTCTCTCTGTGCTGATCCTCCCCTCATTTCTGTGTTTCCCATCTCTGAGTCCCTGCATTTTGTGTGAAGAGTGTAGTGTGTGCCCTTTCAGGTTTGAGCCCTGTCTGTGTGTATGAATCAGATGATACACTCTGGGGACAGCTCAGGCTGGCCAGGCTCAGTGTCCATGGGCTGGCTTCGTCCTTTCCAGCAGTTCCTGAGGCCATCTAAGTCACCACACTTAGGTCCAGTGGAAGTTTCTGCTTGTCTGCAGCACCTTTCTTGCAGATGAAATGGGGGGGTTGTGGAATGAGAGCTGTGGAGCATGAAATAGATAATTCATAGTTGTCACATTGCACTGTGCACAGTGCTACATCGTGTTGCTAAGTAGGGGACTTCCACTAAGGAGGAAATGATGCCACTGAGAGAGATAAACGCCTCATTAGCACCCCTTGCTCATGCGTCCTATCACAGCTAAGGTTAGCAGGCATCCTAGTTGTAACTTCTGGACGATCTGACATACATTTCTGTTTCTGGCCCTCATTCCTGCATTAGGAAGGCCACCCTCAGAGCATCCTGGGCCCACTGGGTCAGAGGCAGCAGAGCTTCACAGTAGAGATGAACAAGATGAGACCCTGCCTTAAAAGGGGGGGAATGGTGTCTGTAGCTTATGCCTGTAATACTGTATAGCAACTTAGGAGGTTAAAAATGGGAGGATTGTGGTTTGAGGCCAGCCTGGGCAAAAGCATTGATGAGACCTTCTCAGTACATGGCTGGATGCAGGGACACCCGCCTATCATCTCAGCCACCGTGGTCCAGGCATCACACTGACAGGAAAGGAAACCCTGTCTTAAAAATAATTGGTGGGGGCTGGGAAGGTGGCTCAGTGGTAGAGCACTTGCCTTGCATGCATGAGGCCCTGGGTTCGATTCCTCAGCACCACATAAGCAAAAAGAAAAAAGCCGGAAGTGGCGCTGTGGCTCAAGTGGTAGCCTTGAGCTGAAGAGCTGAGGGACAGCGCCCAGGCCCAGAGTTCAGGCCCATGACCGGAACCTCCCCCAAAAAAATTGGTGAAAAGCAGGGCTGGAGACATGGCTCAGTAGTACAACACCTGATTGGTAAGTATAAGGCTCCCAGTCCAAAAGATGCTAATAGCATAGAGATGCATGGCTTTAGTTTAACTGCAGCCTTAATGGTGTCCTCCCCAACAATGGCCCTCAGGTCACTCTGCAGCCTCCCCCACCCTCTGCAGCATGGATCCACTTCCTCACTATGTGGACTTGTCCAGTGGAGAGTGTCTGGGGGGTCCAGCCGGGGAGCGCAGAGCCTCATGTTCCCTTGTGTGGAGACAGCTGTCTGCTGATGGGAACCCACATCCTTGTGTACCTCAGATGGAAGTGCGTGCCTCCTTGGTTGGGTGGTTGTCCTCTTGAATTGAGTATGCAGCTTCAGGATGGACAGATGGGGGGGAAGGCCCCCTCCCAGCCAGCAGGCCCTGGTAATCATGGACTGGGCAAGTGCAGGACGAGGCCACCTCAACACTGAGCTGTGGATGTGGCTCACTGAGCTTCCCCCTGCCCTTGACCTGGCAGAGAGCATATTTCCTCTGCGCAAAGGGAAGAGGGCCAAGGCCTTGTGGTGGTGGGGTGTGGAGCACGTTTGTGGGCCTTTGATCCACCTCAGGGGCGCTGCCTGCCCGGGCAGGGCCCAGCTCCCTGAGCTCCATCCACGGGAGATCTGCAAAGCCCTTTGCCTCTTAGTCTGCATTCAGCCGAACTATGACAGTGAATAGAAAAAAAAAAAAAAGAAGCCACCACAACAAAAGTGTTTTCGCCAAGTAGTCAAAATCCTGAAAAGTACAAGAGGTTGATCTTCCAGCTGCAGTGACCAGCCTATAAGCCATCCCTGTCCGGGTCCCTGTCCCACAGACTCTCGTCCTCTCCTGAGCAGGTATTGCCCTGATGGGCTTATTTCCCACTGTGATTTGATCTCAAACATTCTGCACTTCCTTTTGCCATTTAGATGAAATTTAAATAAAACTGTTAGGCACAGAGCAGTGTCAAGCAGTTTCAAGCCTTAAGCTCATGATAAAATCATTCTGCAAGTTGTTCCCTGGGCCTTGCTCTTCTGATTCTGTGGTGTGCGGGTGTCCGCCCCCCTTCATGTGGTTGTCCAGGGAGAGAGCAAGTCAGGCAGGAGCAGCCTAGCTCCATCCTGCCCCCTCTGCCCTCTTCTGTTTATGGACTCTGTGCCACCTCCTCTTCCATTCCCAAAAGGAAGGAGAGGATCTGGACTGCACAGTGGACGTGAATCCTGAACTTATGCAGAGTTCATGTTGAGGCCATATTGTGTTTTCTGTGGCAGGTGATGGCATCTTTCAAATTGGAAGCTGTTATCTGAGATGCAGTGTGGTTGTCTGGGGCTGTATCTGAGACGCGGTGGTGGGTGGTGGTTGTCCAGAGCTGTATCTGAGATGTGGTGGTGGGTGGTGGTTGTCCAGAGCTGTATCTGAGATGCAGTGGTGGTTGTCCAGGGCTGTATCTGAGATGCAGTGGTGGTTGCCCAGGGCTGTATCTGAGTGCAGTGGTGGTTTTCAAGGGCTGTATCTGAGGGGCTGGGAAGGTGGCTCAGTGGTAGAGTGCTTGCCTTGCATACATGAGGCCCTGGGTTCAAGGGCTATATCTGATATGTGGTAATGGGTGTTGGTGGTGAGTGGTGGTTGTCTGGGGCTGTATGTGAGATACAGTGGTGGTTGCCCAGGACCGTCTGTGAGATGCATTGGTGGTTGTTTAGGGCTGTATCTAAGATACAGTGTGGTTGTCCAGGGCTGTATCTGATGTGATGGATGATGATTGCCAGGGCTGAATGTGAAATGTGGTGGTGGGTGGTGGTTGTCTAGAGCTGTATCTGGGATGTGGTAGTGGTTGTCCAGGACTGTATCTGAGATACAGTGGTGGTTGTCCAGGGCTGCATATAAGATGGGGCGGTGGGTGGTGGGTGGTGGTTGTCAAGGACTATATCTGAGACGCAATGGTGGTTTTCCAGGGCTGTATCTGAGTGCGGTGGTGGTTGTCCAGGGCTGTGTCTGAATGCAGTGATGGTTGTCCAGGGCTGTATCTGAGTGTGGTGGTGGTTGTCCAGAGCTGTATCTGAGTGTGGTGGTGGTTTTTCCAGGGCTGTATCTGAGTGCAGTGGTGATTGTTCAGAGCTGTGTCTGAGTGCGGTGGTGGTTGTCCAGGGCTGTATCTAAGTGAGGTGGTGGTTGTCCAGGGCTGTATCTGAGTAAAGTGGTGGTTTTTCCAGAGCTGTATCTGAGTGTGGTGGTGGTTTTTCCAGGGCTGTATCTGAGTGCGGTGGTGGTTGTTCAGAGCTGTGTCTGAGATAAGATGCAGTGGTGGGTATCCAGTAATTCTACCTCTCTCTTCCTTTTCTAGGCTTGTCCAAATCCCTTGGCCTCATTGAAGGGTATGGGGGCCGAGGCAAAGGCGGTCTTCCCGCTACCCTGTCCCCGGCTGAAGAAGAGAAGGCTAAGGGACCCCATGAGAAGTATGGCTACAACTCCTTCCTCAGTGAGAAGATCTCGCTGGACCGCTCCATTCCGGATTACCGGCCCACCAAGTGAGTACTGGATGCCTCTGTCAGCGCCAGCTTGGCAGGTTGGGTGAGGCGGACTCGGGCTATGAGATTCCCCACGTAATTTGTGACTAGTCAACGGAGCTTTTCTCATAACTCAGTCGACTATGGACTCTTCTTGCAATGAAATATTAGCTAAAACATTGAGTTGGGTGTGATAGAGCATGCCTATAATCCCAGCTACTTATGAGGATGGCATCCAGGATGTGAGACTCTTATCTACAAAATAAACAAAAACCATCCAGAAAGACTGGGGGAGGGCTGGCTCACACGGTAGAGTGTGTGCCTAGCAAGCATGAGGCCGTGAGTTCAATTCCTGCTGCTGCCAGAAGAACAAGTCCAGTATATTGTCTTGAGCCTGTATTTTGTGTAGAGGATGGTTTGCTATTTGTATCTTTTTTTCGTGACATTATATTACAAGTGTGCTCCAAGGTGATCAGTTACTGTCAATCCCATTGGAAATTTAGGATATATTCTTTTTCTTTATTTTTCTACGTCACGTTCTGACTGTTTCTCAGTCGCGTCTTTGTGTGTCTTGATTTGATATTTTCTTAGTCCACATGTGTAAAAGGTAAATTCCCTATTAAGAAATACAGAATATAGAATTATAGAAATATTCTCAGACGTTCCCGATCAACATTGGATGTGTTATTTTGCTGAAAAAAGCATTTCCACCGCAATTTCCCTCGACTCTCCCAGTAGGAGGGGCAACATTTTAAGAAGAATGCCGTTGGAAGTTGGTAGGCATTGTTGCTATTTTGTCACACTTTTCAAATGCATCTGTCATATGAGGCGGCTTCCTTATGATGTGTGTGCTTGTGGATACTGCACCTCTCACCCCCTCGCTCTCTTCTCTTCCTTCATTCCACCACCACAGGCTCCTTCGTTCTGGTTCCCACACACAGACAAGGAACCTGGACCCGACTCCTCCTTTTTGCCTCTGTGTGTCCCCTCACCCCCAGCAGAGCTCAAACTATACTTTTTCAATTAGAAACCCTTTACCATTTTAAAGATTTGGTTGCATCTCCTCTGGATCATGCGAATCTTTTTTTCTGAGCTCCGAGAGGGAGGTGTTCTTTCCTGCTTGTGACACAGGGAAAGGGATGAACAGAATCTGGGCGCTGTGGAAGGAGACCTGGCCTGGTGTGGACGCGTTTGCCTAGGGTCACTCACTGAACCCTGCCATCTGCTGGGTTTTCCGTCTCTCCTTTTCCATTTAGTGCCTTTGCTTGGAGTGGGTGATTGCTTTTTTCAAATGGGTTTTGTGCAGATCAGCTTGGTGTTCTGGGTACTGAGAAAAATAAATGTACGATAAATAAAATGATCTAAAGTGGATTTGAGACCACTGCAGCTCTAAAGGCACCGGGAAACCTCTCTTTCTCCTTATGAGTTAGCACTTACTTAGGAGCACTGGGAAGGCCTCCCTGTGGCAGGCTGCCCGCATGCCCCCTCGGTGGCAGGCCACCTGTGTTCCCTCCCTGTGGCAGGCTGCTGTGTTCCTGTGTGCCAGTATCTGGCTGCTTTCATTGCCTGGTGATCTCTGTAGCTGCTCTTATTTGGATGCTGGCAAATAAACATGGTCCTGCTTTTCACTCACTGGAGAAGGAACATGTCTCCGGATGCCTCACTGGAGATAGGGTGGCTAAGCCAGCTCATTCTCTGCTGTGCTGGGTGCCTCACCCTGCATGGAGTGGAGAGAGCTGAGGACAAGACCTGGCCCTGACCTCCCTGTTTCCTGTCAGGCCCTGACCTCCCCACTTCCTGTCCAGGCCCTGACCTCCTTGCTTCCTGTTTGGGCCCTGGCCTCCCTGTGTCCCACATCCTGTCCAGGCCCTGGCCTCCCTGTTTCCCGTCAGGCCCTGGCCTCCTCACTTCTTGTCCAGGCCCTGGCCTCCCTGCTTCCCATTTGGGCCCTGGCCTCCCCATGTCCCACATCCTGTCCAGGCCCTGACCTCCCTGCTTCCTGTCCAGGCCCTGACCTCCTTGCTTCCTGTCCAGGCCCTGACCTCCCCGCTTCCTGTCCAGGCCCCAACTGCCCTACTTCCTGTCCAGGCCCTGACCTCCCCACTTCTCGTCCAGGCTCTGACTTCCTCACTTCCTGTCCAGGCCCTGACCTCCCCACTTCCTGTCCAGGCCCTGACCTCCCCACTTCCTGTCCAGGCCCTGGCCTCCCCACTTCCTTTCCAGGCCCTGACCTCCCCACTTCCTGTCCAGGCCCTGACCTCCCCACTTCCCATCCAGGCCCTGACCTCCCCACTTCCTGTCCAGGCCCTGGCCTCCCCACTTCCTGTCCAGGCCCTGGCCTCCCCACTTCCTGTCCAGGCCCTGACCTCCCCACTTCCTGTCCAGGCCCTGACCTCCCCACTTCCCGTCCAGGCCCTGACCTCCCCACTTCCTGTCCAGGGAGGGAGACAGATCCACATGCTTAGTGTGTGGTCATGGTCCCTGTGGCCTGGCCAGGCCAGAGGAGTAGGCAAGATTTGCAAGGAGGGTGTGAGAGCTTCTTGCTGGAGCTGGAGCTGAAGGACACACATGGGTCAGGGGAAGGAGGAGGACAGGAGTGTCTTGGTGGGGCAAGGCATGGGTGCAGGGGTGTGGGTAGGGGTATTGGGGTATGGGTGTGGGGTGTGGAGTGTGGAGTTGTGGGTGCTGGGGGGGGTGTAGGTGGGCATGGGTGTGCGCTGCTCGGCTGCTGTGTGTGAAAGGGAGGGAATTTCCCATTTGTACCTGGAAGCCGATGGTGAGAGAATGGGGGATGGGGATGGAAGGAGCATGGAGAAATGGGAACTTAGAACACAGCAGGAAAGTGGGGGCTGGACCTCTTCCATGAGAGCCCAGGGGTGGGAAGCAGAGGAGTGCTGCAGTCCAGCCCCGGAGACCCACGGCGGGCCTGCCCAATGAGCCTTGCACTGGGAGGTTGAGCCCAGCGGCAGGATTGTGGGTCTATTCCCGTACCCTGTACCCTATACCCATATTTGGACTTTGTGATAGCCAGACAGGGCTCCACCCTGCTTGGCAGGATTTGGAAGAAGCCAGGATGGAGGACAAGGAGGCTACGCATACGTGGAGGAGACCAGCTCAAGGAGAAGGCAGTGGGTCTGGTGGGGGAGCTGTTGGGACCTGGATACCCCAGCACATCTCCATCACCAAAGGCCTTAACATGGACACAGCCGGACGGCCACGGGGAGGAGCAGAGTGTAGATTCTAAACTCCATGGGCTCAGCAGACTCATGGAGTGCCTTGTTTTGTGGATGAAACAGGAACTGATAGCAATGTTACGCTAATAGAGTTCAAAGTTAAAAGATCTGGTAGTATAACTGTAGTCCCTCTGTGTGGCATCTTTACAAGAAAATAAAATTAAAGAAAAAAAAGATCTGCTAGTAATAAATAATTCTACACAGGCTTGGAAGATAACATCAAGGAAATGCCCAGAAAACCTAGAGGAAAAAAAAAAAAAGAGATGAGAAAAGGAGGTAACAGATCAAAACAGGATTCCCATCAGTCCAACTGAGGTTGAATGTACACTTGTTGGAAGTTGGAGAGAACAGAGTAAAACCATCTGAGAGACGGTATGAGAAGTCCAGATCAGAGAGTCACACCTGGAGATGACATGACTAACGTTCAGAAAGAAGTGAAACCCACATGGATGCTGCCGTGTTGAATTTCTACCCGGCTTGAGGAGACCGTCCTGGGAGCCTTGAGTGAGAAAGGGAAGAACAGGCCTTGGCGACCGCGCTGCCAAGTTTCAGCACCCACAACCAGGAGACAGTGGAGCAGTGCCTAAAGAACCCTGAGAGAAGGATGTGATTTTTCCACTCAGACTTCCAAATGGCCAGGAGACCTGGAACACCCAGGGCCAGGAGTGAGTGCACAGTTGGTGCCCTGTGGATGGGCAGTGTTCCAACAACTCTGCCTCCTGTGCAGAAAGCAGAGCACACGCCAGTGAAACAAAGTAACAAGGACGTAGTCAGATGTAGGCCACCAGGCTTCCAACAGGAAAGCATTGAAGGCTGATTCAGAGATACCATAAGGGAATGCTCCAGGCTGACCACTGCCAGAGGGGCTGGGAGGCCTAATCCAATTTGACCACAATGTAAATCAATCATGTTTTTCTCAATGATGACGGTTATTTTACTATTTCCTGGTTTTGTAGATTTTTTTCTGTTTTTGTTGTTGTTGTTGTCGATGGTAGAATTGCTTTAATTCTTAGGGTTTCATTGCTATATTACTCTTGACAAAATTATTTTCCTTATAAATATGAATGGAGTGCAAGGTAGCAGAGAGATCAGCTGTTAGCTTGTCATCTTCAGGCAAATGGATCCCCAAATGCTCTTCCTCCCCTCATTTTAATTCTGTGATTCTCTTTCTTCCACTGGAATGAGACTTTAAATTTGTATGAATCTCAAGCCGTCAGTCTTTGAGTTTTCATTTCCTTTCTGCTTTAATGCGGGGAGCGATACCATCTCCCAGGGTACTTATAAATATTCCATTTTGTTTTTTGTGTGTGTGTTGCTCTTCTATGAGTCTTTCGTCTTTCTCCTCCATCCTCTGAGAGTTTATTTTAGAGCATGGTGCAGGTTTGGGTCTTTTGTTTCAAATGTCTGTACAACTTTTTGACAAAACAGCCTTTGCAAAATAATTTTGTAAACAGCCTTCCATTCCTTTTGTTTGGGGATTGGTGAAAGTGTTATATCTGATGATTATTTTATCTATAGGTGAGTTTGTTGTTTGGCTCAGTGTTTTGTTAGGTGTTTCTTTTTGTAGTTTCCCTTTCTTTGTTTTTCTTTTAAGTTATTAAGAATGGTTGCTTGACTGAAGTCCCTGATCTGCCAGGTTACTGGACTCCCAGAGGGAGAGGGAGAAGGGGAGGGAGGGTGTGAGAGAGAAAGAGGGGGAGGGGAGAGCAGCTCTGGCTGTGTTCAAGGGACGTAGAAAGGCTGGGGATGGGCATCCTGGAGAGAGAGACAGTATACTGGAAGTGGCTG